ATGTGAGTTGGAGATTGAGGGAGCAGATCCCAGGTCTGTGATGCTCCAATGTAGCCTCATTTCCAGAGAAGCTACTGCTGGAAAATATACAGTAAGAAACAATTCCTTCCTGGACTGGAAGGCACCTAACCCCTGTCTGATCCATGGATATGTCTGATATTGTTCTATGTACATTTTGGAGACTTATTCATTATATTAACTATGAAATACAGAAGACAACATCCTGCCTCCAGGGATCTCCATTGGTAGATTCTCATACCATGTGGTGTTGTATGATGTGCCACATCCCTCAAGTATTGCTGATGCTCAGTTCTAACACCAGAACCCTCATAGATTTACAGTAATGGATAATTATCCTGCTGCATTCTCCACTATTCCCCACATGCACTGAAACAGGAACTTGAGCAGGCTCTGAAGTCAGACAAGATGTTCTGCTCTACGTGTTTTCCCCATCCTTTACAAACCAAACTGGTATTTCTCCCAAGTATAATCTGTTAGTTTTAACATATTCCTGTTCTTCTTCTGCCAATAAGTCTGCTTCCTGTAAAGTTGGCACTGATGTCTTTAAACATCCATGTATCTCATTCAAAGTGAAGGCTGTTTTGGAATAGATCAAGGCAGATGTGCATTAAGTGGTGGTTAGCACTCTTTTAATAAGATACTTCTGCTCTTTCATTTGTCTCAGGAGAATATAAATACATCCATCTGTCTGCTTCAGTAAGTACATAGTCCTCCTCCTGATCCTATCTATATGGCAGGCTCTAGTGTAACAAATGAACAGCTAATGTTGATAATACCCTGAGGCAGGTAACTGTCCCATCAGCAGGGTTAACCTTTCCTTACCTGTTTTACACCCAGTCCAGTCCTCAGGAGATGCAGCACAAGCCTGGCTTGGCCCCCCCTGCTTGGAGCAGATGCTGGCTGATAGCTGGGCATTACAAGACAGGTGGAATAGGTTTGATGTGGAATAGGTCATGAAATGAGGCCTTTGCTCTGCTAAAGCCCCCTTTTGTGTGTGTGTGTGTAAATAAAACAGGTCACTGATGTGATCTCTTATTCAGCACCATTTCTATGTTCTCATCCTTGCACTGCAACTGAACAAGTCACCTCCTTTGAGTTTTGTGGGATTGGTTTGAATGATTTTGATTTAATTGTATTAAATCCATATTTTTTTTAGGGGTGAAGTGATCAACGGAGGGTTTGGCCTGGTTTTGGATGGGTCTAAGGAGGCTGAAGAACGGGCGAAGATGATGCTCAGCTGGGATGTTTCCAATGGAGTAAGCAAAACTCATTACATATGTCCACTTTAAAATCTTCCTGTCTTTAGGACTGTGCTTGTTTAGGTACTTGGGTTCCAGTGCTCCTATCTTTTCTATCTGAATGGGGAGTATGAGCACTCAAGCAGGAGTTTTTAGCATCTGGCTTTTTGTACTCCAGGAATAGTCCTAATAGGCCAAGAGACTCATTCTATTCCTGCTTCTAATATGGAAGGTTATGAGCCTCATTGTAGTGAAATCAATGAGTTGTTTTGTTTGGTTGGGTTTCTTTTTCTCCAACCAATTTCAAAGGACTTTAAGTGCTAAAAGAGGCTGAATAATTCCTGGGTAAGGAACTCATTGTAAGGCGTTGGGACCACCCCTTCTGACTTCATAATGTACTGGAAACCAGTAATTCCCACGTATCAGTGTGTGTTTTGTTATTTAAGCAGAAAGGGGAGCATGCTTACTATAACTTTGTTATAGTGTAGTTATAGACATGTTGGCATTGTTATTTGCCTACATAATACAATTGACAACTGTATGAACTTTAGTCTTGTCTATTCCCAGCTTCCGGATCTAGGAATCTCGGAAGGCCTATCATTTAAATGTCAGCTCATCCCTGCTACCATTACAGTTTTTGCATTCCATTAGTGTCCAGATAGATCCTGCCTAGGTTTAAGACTAGGATCCCATCTCTGAAATGGCAGAGAGCTTTTGCTTCAATATTTGCAGAGAATCAAATCAACCTGGCAGTCTAAAGGACAAGATCTGTTGTGTTTCAGTCATGTAACCTCTCAAGGACCTGATGTATTGAGAATTCCTTGCCAATACTGATATGATCTGTTCTGTTTCACTTCTCAAGAGAATTGCAGGAATTCCTTCTTGCCTTATGCCACTACAAAAGCATCAGTTTCTTGAAAGACACTGTTATCTAAAGCAAGTGCTAGTTTTACAGAGCTGGGGTTGAGTGCACAATGACTTTTAAAGGGAGACTTTTGTGAAGTTTTTAAGGTGCCTGGCTCTACCAATGTTATCTGCCCAATGGTATGTTTCTGCAGGAAGATGTACCAAGTGTACCCAGATATCACTCCCAAAAATGAAGCAGATATCACAAAAATGACTTCCCAAATCAGTAAGGAAACTAGAAACTGGCTGAAAGATTTATTGTTACGAAATCGGGCACCGGTGTTTGCGCAGATGTTGTGCAATGATGGATGTGGCAGGAGAAATGCAGGACTTTTACACCCATTGATTTTCTGGTCTGACAGGTTGCCAGGCGCTGCTGGTCGGGTAATGACTACGCTTATGAAACGATCTGCCAAGCAATGAAGGAGAATGCCACGCTGAAGGTGACTCTCCCTCACAAGGTGGTGGATGAGAGCATCCTGGAGCAAGCTGTGAAACATTAGCGGTATTCCAAGTGCAATTTTGTCCATGCAGATACATTTGAAGTTGCTTCCTCAATACCTGTTTTGTCTGGCCAAATGATAAAAGCTATGCAAATGTCTATGTGAGTTCCTCTTCTTTCCCTTTGATTTGTTAACAGGGTAAACCTCTATCTGTGATAGCTCCACTGATGTTGGGAATAATCTTTTCACTAATGTATATGGAACAGTGTTTGCGATAAGAAACTATTCATTGCAAGGAAAGGAACTAGAACTGGAAGGGAAAGGGCTTACACAGGTAAAACTGCATTGCCTGCTGCAGATGAGGTGTGATGAGCTGCTGTCCACAGGATTGTTGGCTCTCAAAGCTATATAACTGTTGGTACATGGCAGGTGAGCACATTCTGCAGCTCTGTATTGCCTCTGGTGCCAGGTAAAGGGGAAAGCATTTGTTTGGATTCACAAATCATTTCTTTACTCTGTTCATGTACTGTGTATGTCTCCAGACGAACAGTGAGAGTGGCATCTGCTTGTAACCGAGCCTTCTGTGAGGTGCAATCTGCAGTTGATGGAAATTGCTTTATATTATGGAAAAACCACCCACATTGCCAAGTTATATGCTGGAGATGAAAGTAGTTGCCAGCCAGATTTGACAGCCCTTCCTTTAACATATGTTATACATTACCTATTAGTAACAACCACACTGGACTGGGTCCAAAATTAGTATCTTGGTGTTGTATAAAACCCCTTCAGTCTTCACAGTCCAAAAATGCTAGGGTACTGTTGTGTCAAGAGGAACAACCAGAAAACACACTGGCTTGTCTGGACTAAGGATTCTAGAGTTGTTCCATCGATTCATCTTAATTCTGAGTTGAAAATCCAGCAAAGAGAAGCTGTTGATGAAATATTCATGGTGATTTCTTTACCTTCTGTATTGTTTAGTACTGGGATACTTACCAGCAAACTCACCTTCACATCCCAGACCAAAAAGGAACCTTATTTTCATCCTTGTACCTTTATTGACCAGAGGACATAAATTTGCAAGTAAACTTGTGTTTAATGGTGCTCAAGTTCCTAGGAGTTTGTAGCTCTGGACTACCTGTAGGGAGCCATAGAACCTCAATGTAGAAGCGCTGTACAAGAGCTACCAGCTGAGATTCAGATTGTAGAGTTATGAGTAAGACAAAATGGGTTACAGAAAGGCATCAGAAAATGAACCGATGAGCAGTTGGTCCCATTTATGACCATTCTGTTGTTTAACTATGTAGTACATAATAGTAATGTGTATATGTTTAAATGTGCTTTGGTCTTTAAACTGCACATTTCAACCCTTAACAAATGTGAATGGACTGAGTTCTGCAGGACCTTTGGGAGGGCCCAAGGAAGCAGTAGCCTGTGCCTACCTGGGATGAAACGGGTGACATCCAGCATCCATCAGCCCTGTGTGAAGATTCCCATTCTGAGCTCTGCTCAGCCTAGTTTTATCTGTTCTCGACTTGTTTGCAGGGCAGCTGGGACTGTGAATGGGCTGTTGTCCTGTGGGGATGCTGATGTTGGTTTCAGGTAGCTGAGCTCACTGCTGGGCAAACCCAGCTCAGGGAGAGCAGCCTTCAAGCTGTCCATCTCTGTAGGTACTGCGTTAGATCCCATCCACTGGATGTAGAGGCAGTGGATTTCTGTAGTGAGCTAACGCATACATAGAGCCTACAGCTCTATGGCAAGAAGTACCAGCCGTGGCCCTGGCCAGCAGCCTCCCAGCCTTGCTCCTGAAGATTTGATGCTGAATCGGTCAGTGGAAGGAGGGATCACAGCACCATCTGCTGGGACTGCTCCTCGCTCCCACAGCAGGAGGGGCCTGATGTAATTTCCACTGCAAATACGGGATAATTTTCCCTTTTCCTTCAGTATTGGAGAGCCAGGAGCCAGCTGGACATGAGAGAAAAACAGGTTGTATGCTTGGGATCTTTTTTTTTGCATAGGTTCAACTGATTTGAGTAACAATATGTTATTATAGAGTCTCTTGCCTACCCACAGGATATTTTGCTGATGTATTTACCTATTCTAACTCTCCAGCTGTGGTTTGCAAGCTTGGAAGTGCTTTGCTTTAGCACAGCCTCTTCCTTGCTGTTAACAGGAATGGACAAATCCCGGAACAGTCCCCAAATCCTGAAATAATTCCAATTGTGCCACTGTTAGAGGTGCAAATCGCTGTGCAGCGCCTCGCTGCGGTCCGGTAGCCCCCGAGCATCCCCCCTTGGGGGCAAGGGGACCCTGACCGTGGCGAGCAGCCCAGGCTCCGCTCCGGGACTCCGCGCTCCGGGTTTCCCCGGCGCCTCCCGCTCCGCTCCTGGAATCCCCGCTCCGGGATTCCCCTCTGCCCCGCGCCGGCCCCGCCCCGCGGCTCCGGTTTCAGGCGCTGCTACAGGGACCCCCAAGATGGAAACGCAGGGGCTGCCCGCCGCGGAGGCGGCCCGGGCCCGGCCCGGCGTGCAACATGGCGGCCCCGCTGCGCCGCCCGCCGCCCCGCGGCGGCCGCCGCCCGACTGGGACCCCTCGCCCGCCGCCGCCGCCTCCTCCTCCTCCGCCGCGGCGTCGGGCCTCTACGTGAGCTTCCCGGTGCTGCTGGTGGAGGAGAAGCCGGAGGCCAGCCCGGCGCCCAGCCCCTGCGCGCAGCCGGCGGGGCCCACGCCCGACAACGACGGGCTCCTGCTCGTCCTCAACGTGGTGCGCGGCGCGGCCGAGGCCGGCCCGGGAAGCGGCGAAGCGGGACGAGCCCAGCCCGGCCCGCCGCCCGCAGAGCCGCCGCCGCCGCCGGAGGAGGAGGAGGCCTCTGGAGCGGTGCCTCCGCCGCCGCCGCCTCCCCCACCGCTGCCCCCCGCCGGCGGCGATGGCGGCGGGGCGGAGGATGGCTCGTTCTCGGGGACCATCACCATCAACAACCAGAGCCTGGTGGTGCGCATCGAGAACGGCGTCCTCACGCTGGGCCCCGGCGCCGAGCAGGCCGCGGGCACCGCGCCGCCACCTCCCCCAGCAGCCGCCGCCGCCAGCCCCGCCGAGCCTCCGGGCGGGCCGCGGCCGCGCTCTCCGCCGGCCTTCCCGTGCCCGGAGCCGCGCTGCGGTGAGGCCTTTCCCCGCAAGCAGCAGCTACGGCTGCACCGCCTCTCGGCGCACGGCGGCGGCGGTGGTGGTGGCGGGGAGGAGGACCGCGGTGCGGCGGCGCGGCCCTTCTGCTGCCCGGTGCCGGGCTGCGCCTGGTCGTTCGCCACGGCCTACAAGCTACGGCGGCACCTGCACTCGCACGACAAGCTGCGGCCCTTCGCCTGCGCGGCGCCCGGCTGCTCTAAGCGCTTCACCACCGTCTACAACCTGCGGGCCCACAGCCGCGCCCACGAGCAGGAGGCGGCGCACAAGTGCGAGCTGTGCGGGCAGCGCTTCCCCAGCGCCGCCCGCCTCGCCGCGCACCGGCGCCGCAGCCACCTGGAGCCCGAGCGGCCCTACCGCTGCGACTTCCCCGGTAAGCCAGAGCCGCCGTCCCCGAAGCTCGCTTCTCCTCCGTGCTGGCCCTCATTCCCCTCCTGAGTCGGGAGGAAGAGCCACTTGGGTTATTGAGGGTGCTTTGAGCGACATGGTCTCATGGAAGGTGGCCCGGGCCTTGGCAGGAGGTTTACACTGGCAAAGGGGAGATTGAGATGCGTTCTTGGGTACAAGTTCTTCTCTGTGAGGCTGACCAGAGAAGCTGTGGCTGCCCCATCCCTGGCAGTCTTCAAGGCCAGGTTGGACACGGACTTGGAGCAAGCTGTTCTAGTGGAAGGGGTCCCTGCCCGTGGCAGGGGGCTGGAACTGGATGAGCTTTAAGGTCTTCTCCACCACAAACCATTCCGTGGTTCTATGACAGTTTGGGAGCTGGAGGGTGCTGCGCTTTCACTGTTCAGTTTACAACGTGACTTTGTACTGTTGTGAAGCACAGCATGAGCATTTTATGATGTGCCTTACACCAGGCTGTGTGTGTTCTGACTGCCCACCTGGGCTAAATGATCATAGTCCTTGGGAGCAGCGTAGTTTAGGTTTGCACTGTTTGGTTTTTCTATGTACTGGGATGAAATATCCTAGAAGAAGGATCATGAGGATCCCTCACTAAAAGTTTGGAGGGAGATACTGCAGTTTCCTGATTCAGTTTTCCATCAAGTCCATGCGCTGTTTCCCTTCTCTCTCCCCAGGCTGTGAAAGGACATTTATCACAGTGAGTGCATTATTCTCCCACAATCGAGCCCACTTCCGAGAGCAGGAGCAGTTCTGCTGCTCGTTCCCTGGCTGTAACAAGCAGTATGACAAAGCCTGCCGACTGAAAATCCACATGAGGAGCCACACAGGTATCTGTGAGGGTGACTTGGACCTGGGAAAGCATATGGGAGATAATACATGGGCTTCAGTTTGCTGGGAAAACTGTTTTTTAAGTGTCGTTTTGCTGAGTGAAGTTCTTAGATGTGTTAGAAACCAACTTCAGACTGTTGTAGTCAACATACAGTCACAGGTCATGAAAACAGAACGCATTTCAGTTGTGTTTCTAGTTTGAATAACACTGTTCTTGGCTATTGAAGCATCTTGAAGGTGGCTCAGATTAAAAAGAGAAGGATTAGTCATTAATTATTTGTGCTTCTTGATGTATATGGAAAGATGCAGTAGCCTGGAGTTAAAGAAGGCTCAGACTGTCTTAAGTGGGAAGGGTCATCACAGTACTCTGCAGTGACTAGCAGGGGAGGGTGGTTGAGTTGTCTTAAATGGATTCAATTGAAACAGCTTTTGAGATCTTCTAGTAGCAGTGTGCTTGTCCCTATTAGATTCTTAACATAACTGTTCTTTGTTTAAGGTGAAAGGCCTTTTATCTGTGACTTCGAAGGTTGTGGCTGGTCTTTCACCAGCATGTCCAAGCTGCTGAGACATAAAAGGTAACCTTTTCTGGTTATACTGCCCTAAATCGCTTGCTGCTTCTTTGGTTTCCTTCCATTACTTAAGCAGCAATGGATTTAATCATGTCAATGGTAATTGCCTTCCCTTGCAGGAAACATGAAGACGACAGGAGATTTATGTGCCCAGTAGAAGGCTGTGGGAAGTCCTTCACAAGAGCAGAACACTTGAAAGGCCACAGTATAACTCACCTTGGTACAAAGCCATTTGAATGTCCAGTAGAAGGTATTGGTCCATTCTAATATGTTAACTGGTAGTTGTGTGCATGTTGCCTAAAGATTGTGTGTGTTTTCCCAAAGCACCAGTTTTGTTGTGGGATTGGGACAGTTTAGAGTGGAGTCTTCTAACAGAGTTTGGAGAGGTAAAACTAAGTAGGTTGGATGGAGCTTGAGCAAGCTGTTCTAGTGGAAGGTGTCCCTGCGTGTGGCAGGAAGTTGGGACTGGATGAGCTTTAAGGTCTCTTCCAAACTAAACCAGTCTGGGATTCTATGATATTTTGCTTCATAAAGTAAAGCAGCTCTGCTTGGTGATTGTTTCTCCTTGTGATGGTTTTGCCAGCAGTCATCATGGAGAGATAACATTTAATATGCTGTAGCAGGGAAAGGTTTTGCATTGCACTGCCTGACTTAAAGAGTTTCCTGTTGTCAGAAACAGGTTGTTGCACTGCCCTACCCACTGAGACGTCCTTGATAAAACAATGCGATATGTATTTGGTTTTCTTCTGATTCCTCTGAATGCACACATGGGCACTGCAAATAGAATTCTGTAAAGCTACTCTCATTTATTCTGTTGAGACACTGAATGGGAACATCAGATTGAAATCAGATGACACATTAAAGCCTTGTGTATCTTCCTACAGGCTGTTGTGCAAAGTTCTCAGCACGAAGTAGCCTGTATATTCACTCCAAAAAACACCTTCAGGATGTGGACTCCTTAAAGACTCGTTGCCCTGTACCCAGCTGTAATAAGTTTTTCACTTCCAAACACAGTATGAAGACACACATGGTCAAACAGCATAACTTCAGCCCAGGTAAAGTAGTTGTTTCAAACTATGGGATGGTGCAGTGGAAAACCTGGATGTCTTCTTAAGGAAAATGTGTATTTACTGTTGTTGAAATCTGAGCTAAATGGCAGAATCTTCACCCAGGCTGGAATGCGCTTTCCCTCCCTAAAATTTTTAGTGGCACCTGTAACTGGTATCAGAAAGTGAGATTTGAGCTTGACCTGTGGCATAGGGGCCTATAAGGATGCTGGGGAGGGACTCGGGACTGTAGTGGTAGGACAAGGGGTAATGGGTTAAAACTTAGGGGAGATTTAGATTGGGTATAAGGAAGAAGTTCTTTCCTGTAAGGGTGGAGAGGCACTGGAATGGGTTTCCCAGGGAAGTTGTGAATGTTCCATCCCTGGCAGTGTTAAAGGCCAGGTTGGACAGAGCCTTGGGTGACATGGTTTGGTGTGAGGTGTCCCTGCCCATGGCAGGGGGGTTGGAACTGGATGATCTTAAGGTCCTTTCCAACCCTAACTATTCTAGGATTCTATGAAATTGCAGCTTTTTGAATGAAGTAGAGCTTCTCCTTCTCCGTGCCATCTGTAAAGCATGAGCAAGGACCAAAAGCACTTTGTTCTGCACTCCCACTCCTCAACAGCCTAACTTGGTCTGGTCTGCCTTGGTGGTACTTTTGGCAAGTGTTCTTGTAACTGGAATTTCTCTATAAAGGAGTGAATTTCAGTAAGCTTCTTGTCCTTAGATCTGCTTTCAGGGCAGTTGAGAAGCTTTTCAGTAGGCTGAGTTTGAAGCTTTCCCCTTTGATCATTCATGTCTTTCCTCCTCATTTTCTGATGAAAGGTTTATCTTAGAGCCAAACCTCTTCTCTTCCAGACCTCCTCACTCAGCTCGAAGCAACCAGCTCCCTCACACCCAGCAGTGAGCTCACTAGTCCAGGACAAAGCGATCTCAGCAACATAGACCTCGTATCCCTCTTCTCCAACGTGTCTAGTAACAATTCTGCAACTGCAACAGACATGGCACTGGTGAACTCTGGAATTGTCACCATTGATGTTGCTTCGGTGGGCTCAACACTGGGAGGAAACCTCCCTGTCAGCACCAGTTCTTTGAGCCAGGCAGTCGACCCCTTGATACTGGTGACGAGCAGCGATATGCCACAGAGCCTGGACAGTTCTCTCTTGCTGGGAACCAGTGCAACAGTTCTGCAGCAAAGCACTTTAAATTTGGATGATGTACAGACTGTCAATGCAGAAGCCTTGGGTTCCCTAGCATCCCTATCGGTGAGGAATTCCAGCCAAGATGTGCACGGTTTGACATCCAGCAATAATCTAACCATCGACACAGCTGCTTTGACTCCTTCTAGTAGCCTCGGCAGTACCAATGTGCCTGAGTTACTAACACCAACTAAAGCTGAACGCAATCTGCTTCCGAGCTCGGATGTTGTTGGTCAACAAGAGGGCAGCAAAGTAGTGACACAGTTTGTCTTCTCCAACCCTCCAGGGAGCTACAGCGCGCAGAAAGAAATGGACCTTGGCACCGTAACTGGCAGCTCATTTTTGGTATGCAGTGACTGTTTTACCCCTGGATGACTGAGATACCTCTTAGGGAGACCTCTCAGGTTTTGGCTTATTTTGGTGAAGGATGTGGAGTGTTACGTTGAATAGGTTGTGTCGTGGATTAATCAGAAGTAGATCGGGTATGGTAATAAATCCTCTTAAGAAATACTGAATTCTGGTGGGGAAAGTTAAGGGATTAAAAAATGAGCATCCGTCTGTCTGAGAAAGAAATGGGATTTACAAGAACACCCAAGAATGTGTGGTATGTCTTGTGCTTTTCATCCCAGGGAAAGATTTAGGCTGGGAGAGTAACCAAAACATCTTCATCTCAGTCCTCATTCCCATTTTGAGTACTCTTCCCTTTCTGCTTTACTGTGTTACTGCAGATTTAACTTTTAATTTGTGTTACAAAGTGAATGTGGAGCTAACTTCTTTTTGTGCTCAAGTCCAGATAGGAAGTAAGAAAACTTTGCATCTCTTGGCTTTATTTTCTTTCACCAGGAAAGCAGTGGATCTGCAAGAACAGACTACAGAGCCATTCAGCTAGCCAAGAAAAGGAAACAAAAAGGGAATGGGAGCAGCACAGGTGAGAAGCCATTCATTTTGTTCAGTTTCCTATATACAGTTCAGGGGTTTGGCATTGAAATGGGAGCAAGGATCTGAGAACATCCTAAAGCACCCCATCCTGTTCCTTGCTAGTTAAAATACTCATGCATGTGGTGTGCCATCTGTTACTTGAGATAATCGCATTCTGTGCAATATCAAATTCACAGTAAGCTTATAAGGAGATCTGCACCACATGTTTGATGAGTGTTAACAAGACACTATCTCTCCATCTCTTAATCTGCTTTTTAATTTCTTATTACAATACATAATTGAGATCACTTTGCTTTCTGTTGTCTGTGCTTTCGGTCTTACCTTACTGGGTTTTCTTTTACTCAGTATAGACATTGAAAAGATCAGCTGAGTTTGTTTCACTTCTGTGTTTCACTTAGTCACTGTGTATGCAGTGTTAAGGAATTTATTTCTTGGTTATCTAGAACTACTCAAACCCCATTCTTTGATTTTAGCCTAGTAGAGAGCTCTTGTGCAGGGTGAGGTTTAGGTCTTGATTTCAAATGCATTTTCTTTTGAGCTCTAGTTTGACTCAAAGCTGTCTGATGTGGATTATAAACTGTTACTTTGCCAGGTCAGATGTGGTCTGTGTGAGCTCAGGTGTTTGAGTTGTGTCTATCCTTGGGCCTGGGGTGGAATATCACATCTATATAGTTTAGTTCTTCCTTGCTGGCTCTCAGACCTTCCACCTCTGAGAATCAAGGTGATAATTTCTAAGGTGAGTTAAGAGACTAGGTTTGAATTAAGCACTGTCACGTTTCTGTATTTGTGAAAGTCTTGGCCTGCATACGTTCTGGTTTAGTGCATCATCATATGGAGGAGTATCTAGGTTTAACTAGGTTGAATGTACACTCTAGAGGGGAGTTCAGTGTTTAAAAGGAAGTTTTCCAAGCCTTTCATTTACTATAGGTTTAAAAACCAAACCAAAACCTGGAACAGCTGGCAGGATTGTATTTCTCACATTTATTTTGACTAGGTTTTTGGTTTTCAGCTTGTGATACAAGCAGCTGGTTCATCCGGTTTTAAACTGGAAAACGCTTAAGGTTGTGGTAGTTGTACTTCTGCAGCCTGTTCTGCCTAACAGTCCTTGGAGTCTTACTGGCGATAGATGAGCTCCACAGCACTTCTATTACAGTTTGGGCAAATGATGAGCATGACTTCAGGAGAGGAGTTACTAATTAAAAACAGAAAATGCAGTTCTACTTCCTAATTCCTTTGTAGAACTCAACAGGCATGCTGATGCTCCTGGGCTACCGCAGGGGTGAGCTCTAAACCACAGCACTCTGTGATGTGGTTTTAATGGCATCCCTACATTTAATGGGTGGACTCAATGATCTTAAAGGTCTTTTCCAACCTAAAGGATTCTGTGTCAAAAGGTGCTTGGTCAGCAGTTGGAGTTCAGCTGGTTCTTGTCTGGCCTTGTAGCAGTTAATCAGATGGTGCTTAATAATACAGTACTGTGGGCAGACATCTGTGTAGTGTAAATAACTGCATCAAATTGAAAACTGCTAGCAGGAAATGGCAAATTGCTTCTGACCATCTCAATCCTAAACCTTCTCTCTTTCAGCAGCATCTGGCTCTGGTCAGAGGAAAAGCAAGGGTGGTAAAGTGAGCCCTACCAACTTCTCATCATCCACTCCTGGCAGTCGACTGGGTGGCAACATAGTTCTGCCAAATGGAGGGCTGACAATAAGGGACCCTGCCACTGGAGCCCAGTATGTGCAAATTCAGCTTCTTCAGGTAAGAGCTGAGGAGGAAAAGCTTGTTCATCTTCTGTTAGCCAAACTGGCACATTTATGGAAGGACCTGACTCCCTGCCAACTCAGGTACTACTGCCCCAAGATGGGATTTTGAGATCTCTGATATGTACCGTGTCCCTTAGAGCATTTGCCTGCAAGAAATGCTTTCGTTGGAAGTTTGTATGAAAGTGGCTTTAGAGAGGAAACAGAGCTGGTTCAGTAGTACAGCTGCTGGAGGCTCAAACAGTTGTGTTGTGGAAATGGGCAAGATGTTTTTATTTGGTTCAGTGGTAATACTCAGTCCAGCCTGGAATATACAGGCACTGTAGCTGTAGGAAGCATCCTGTTCAGCTTCTGAGACTGGATACACTTGATGGAGGGAACACTGTGATGAGTTTTAGCCAACTTCCATTTTGCATGGTGATCTTTCAAGGGCTGATTTAAGTGGCAGTTACCTTCCCAGGCATCTGTGTGGCTCTAGGCCTTATGAGTAGAGTGGCTTTATCAGATGAGGTTGAGTGAAATTTGCCACATTGTGCTGAGATGCTTGAAGGTCTTGTAAGTGCATCACGTTTCTGTATTCACAGGATGATTCCCCAGGAGAGGGGGATTTGCCCTTTCAACTGAGTTCTCAGTCTTCCTCGTCTCATTCTCAGCTTACAGTGGATTTACCTGTTCACATACTTCAGGTACAACATGTCAGAGCCCTTGGGCTTTATTACCTAGTGTGAAAGTGAAGGCAGTTTAGTTTGAACACTCTTGTGTTCATCCTAATGCAAATACTGTGTTTTTCATTGGGAGTTTAATTCCACTTACAAGAAGCAGTAAGCAGAGAGCTGGCACTGCAAGATTGATCTTGTGTATGTTACCAACCTTTGACATGTCACAAGTGGTTGTTTTTCTTCCTCTGTTTCTGAATAATGAGTAACTAAATCTATTCATTTACTACTGAAGTGCTCCATCCTTGTTTTCTTGATCCCATCCTGCAGATATTAAGTGGGTCAAGAAAGAGGATCAGAATTGATACGTAACAGGTTGCAGCAGAGGTGGGGAGTGGGAACAGAGTGGGAAATGAGATCTTGAGCTTAGATTTCAGAGTGGTGTCTAAATGGGAGTGCAGTTAGGTTAAAAAGTCTGCTCACTTCTCCAGTCTTTGGTTTCACTGCTTGCCCGTGGTCACTGCTGAGTATCAGTGGTGTTTGAATGCAGAAAGCTTCATGGAGCATCTTGTGTAAATGCTTTGGTAGCTGCTGTTTTGGTAAACTGGAGCAGCTGAGAACTGAGCAGTGAAGGATTCACATGTACGTAAATCCCATTTTCTACTTGACCGTGTGGGGCTTTGGTTTTGACGGACTGTGCAATACAGTTATTCTTAACCAGGCTTCTCCTGGATGGAAAATAAAGCTTTAGTATTTGAGAGGAGCACTTTACTGTGATAAACCTAGAAATACAAGAAGAGTTCTAGGATTGTTGGCCATGGCAGAGAGTTAATGCAGGCAAAACAAATAGTGATTTTAAATTTATCCCCATTAGTAATGCTTATCTGAAGTGTTCCAAAGGAAAACCTTTTGAGGGGGTCCCCAAAGTAGGAGAGTTTTGGGTTTCCTCTAAACCATTCAAAGCATTTTTCTGGTGTTGGCTAAATGTCAAGGTGATCTTACTGATAAGCATTCAAAGCATCGAGAGGTGAAGGCACTGACCTCTTCGTGCTGTCTGTTTGCTTTAACAGGAGCCACACAATTCCACTGAAGATGATGCAGGTTCTGATAACTCTCAGTTCACTGGAAGCACAATAAACTTACAGGATCTGGAATGACCGTTATTAAGAAGAATTACTTGAAAACAAGTTGGTCAATCACGTCTTGACAGAGTGAGATGACTGTGGTGGGTCTTTTTCCAAGGAAAATAGGAAAACCAGGAGTGCTGGATGATGGTTGCACTCTTTGCAATGTGCTAGGGACAGCTGCAACTGAAAGACGTTCTTACAAGATGTAAATCCCACTTGATGTGCCTGTGTAAGATACCCTGTCTGCCTGGAGGCTGGCGAGGCTGAGGCAGACTGCTGTACAGTGTTGTTTCAGGGAGAAGTGCTGTATTAAACTTCAAACTGGGGTAATATTTACTGTTTTCACAGGAAAGCAAGTATTCTACAGCTAACACGAACAAATTCATCCTGCCTACAGCAGTTCAAACCTTCCTTCTGCTGGTCTTCTCTGGAGCCAGTGGCCTTGAGGAATTAAGAGCTAACCTTTGCAAGTGTTCTTCCATACACTCACACACACACAAGTAGTTGTTTTGGCCCCTGTGTTTTGGCAGAAAAGTGGACTAAAAGTGTCACACGTAACAAAATGAATGTCCCACACCATGAAAACGAGATGCCCTCAACTCTTTGTTTTAGGAAGTTAGATTCTAACCGTTACCTTAGCTGTGAATCAGTTTGTAGCTCATGTTGAGTTTCTCCCTTTCCTCGCTCCTGCATCCCAAATACTTTGCTGAATTCTTCCAGCACAACTTGAAAACTGCAATAGAACTGTACTCACTGCAAGTGAGGAGTGAGGAGTCCAACAGCATCTGAGAGGTTCATTTCAGCTTTGTGTTCCCTTTCTGGGGAGGAATGTTGACCGTCACGTAAATTGAAGCACCTTGATTTTTATCTCATCTATAAACTGCTGCCAAGTTACCTGTGAACTGGCCACTACCTTTTTACTTTGGGTTGGGTTGTTTTCTTGGGGATTTTTGTATGGAGCACTGTTTTAACACTTGTTCTTTCTTGCTGTCCCATACACGTCGAGCTTCCAACTGGTTTACAGACTATGCGTGGTCAAGAGTATTTTATGGGGGGAGACAATTGTTACGTAGGAAGATTTGCCCCACTGAAAGCCTGCAGTTTCTCTTGGGGGCGGAGAGAGAGGTTGTATGTACTGTACTTACCTGGATTGCAGACACCTAAATAACTATAGGGTTGTATAGGAAACAAGAAAACCACCTTTGGTTATGTTTTAAGGTAGTAATTTAAGTGTTTCTCATGGTGATGTACTGAATGCCTATCAAATGATGTATAGGAGTTTGCTAAGGGAGTGTATGTGCTGGTTTTTATTCTCAATAAGGTGTGTGTATGCACGTATGTGTATTTTCGTACACAATAGGATATGGCACGCAGGAGAAGGTTGTTGATCTTTCTGACCTTGCACATACTTATTTATTTTACAGTCAGACTGGTGTTGAACTCACACGAGGTCATTCAGAAACGCTTTTACTTCCTGTGCCTTTTGAACGATGTATGTGTCCAGATCAAGGCTTTTTCCTGGTTGAGCACTTGGGGAGAGAGGAAAGAAAGCATACAGGTTACCTTCACCTTCACATCCTGGTTTGTAGGCAGTGTTAGATCCTCTGGTTGAACCAGTTTTATTTTCCTATCTTTAGCATTGAGGTCTCTCTGTTCCTCTCAGCCTGAGTTTACAGCTTACGTCCAGGAATCTCTTAAACCTCTCAGGTTGGGTTTCCAAACCAAACTCATTTGGTAGATGAGATCTTCTACGTGGTGGCTGTGGCTGCAGAATGGAGTCCACTCCTGAGAGGTTGAAAGGTTGAGGAGGAATCATCTGGAGGGACTGCTGGGTCTTGCTCTAGTGGTCACCGTGCTCTCCCTGGAAGCTGAGATGCCTCGAGCTCCCGATGCCTGCATTAGCATTGCGCTGTTCTCAAGGACCATACCAGTTCTGAATCTATTACAATGGCCAAGGAACACTCCATCTTTTTATGGGACTTCCAACCAAATCTTTCTACGTCTGAAAATGTACCTCACTCAGCTTTGTAAGTGAATGTAAAGTGCTAACCTCTTGGGGCCGAAAATGGGATCACTTGGCTTGGACTCCATTGCTGGCAATGGATACCTGACGAACTGCTGGTGCAAAAGGGTTAATAAAGCTTTTTTTTTTTTATGGTCAGTTTGTCACTGGGTGGTGTTCTTTGGATGGATGCAGCTGGCATAAAGCTCGCTGTTAACAGCTTGATTTCTGCAGAGCTGCTGCTTTTCCTTTGTGTCTTGTGCGCAATAATGAGGTGGTCTGTAATGAAACCCATCCCTTGGATTGAAAGCTATGCTTAGCTGTTGGTTTTTAGAGGCCTCCATCAGATCTGTGCTTATAATTAATGTCTTGTGGGTGCCCGACTTAGTTATGCCTTAACAAAGATTGTTGCCAGGACTGTGATAGATCTCACTAGTCAGGTTTGGAGGGATAGTGCTATTTGCATCAAAACCTGTATGAAGAAAACATCATTGCTTGGAGGAGCCTGAGAAGCAAAATGTGACAATTTAAATTCATTTATTTAGGCAAAAGATCAGTAGAGGGAGAAAGGGGGCTGGGATTTTGGGACAGAAGAAGGAGTGAAGTTGATCAAGAATGTAGACCTATGAAAAAGCAGCATCAGCCCTGCATGCTGTGGGTGAGGCTGTGCTGTCAGGTGAAGTAATAGAGTTGTTCCTCCTGCTTATCTATTTCTTCTTGTTTGGGCTTTCTTTTTGGCTTCTTGGGAGGTAGGACAGAGCGAAACATCAGCCTCCTGCTGGTCTGCAGAGGAAGAAGAGTCGCCTGTGTCAGTCTGAACCACACACCTAAGGCTGATTCACCTTCATGCTCCTGCTAGAGGGGCCGTGGCCCCTTGCTCTTTTCTGGGCAGATTTCAGTGTGTTTAAGTGTGGTTTTATCCATTAGAAAATAAGTGTCAAACATTTCAAGGCCATGCATGTGCTTGTGCATCAGCTTCTATGGGCTGCTATTGCATCAGCTTCTACAGCCTGCTATTGCACCTGCAACTGGTTTCTGACTAAAGCCTGATTTGTACTGTTGAGGAAGGCAAGTCCAAAGAAATAGCTGATGGACCATGCAGAACCTTATTGCTTTAACTTGAGTAAAGGGGCAGAGACCCATGGTGCCTGTTCTCAATAGCCCATGTCCTCACTGTCGTGTTGACCCATGGAGCATGCACCACGAGCTGTGGCCTGAAGCTTGCATTGTGCTGGAGTAAGCAGTGTTACTCCAGCAGTTGCTTAAGTTACATCAGTCCTGTAAACTGGGCTACACATGAGTGTGGGTGCCACCCCCAAACTGTACCACTCCTCCCTTAAGTCCTTGATATTCAGGTACCCTCAGCTTCCCTGCAGTGGGCTGTTCAGTGAGGGATTCCCATGGATTCCTGCACTTACCTTCACTTCCCCAGTTGCTTCCGACCTTTCCAGGGCCTTTTTCAGCCTTTCCTCCTTCTGCTTCTCCTGTTGTCTCAGCTTTTCCTCTCTGAGCCTTTTGAATGAAGGATAAATTAAATGCACCAAATACACTTTTGATACACAACATCAACATCTTAACATTTTCTCTTACATCTAACAGTATAGGGCCACCGGAGCAGAGGGGATGGGTATAGCTGATGCTGGAGTGCTGTTGCTGGGAAAGTGGTGAGAGGGAAACAGGTGCTGTAGTTGATCCTGTCCTTTCTGGAGTGAGGGGTGGAAAAAGCACCTCAAGCTTTGCAAATGGAGATGTTGGATGGTTGCTCTCCATTACAAACATGCTCTGTATCTCTTTCAGCAGGTGACTTACACTCTACAGTTGACCAGGATGCTCACCAGCTTTGGAGGTGAATGATGCTTGTTGTGTCTGAAGCTCTCACCAGTGTAACCATGGAGCTACTTTGACTAAGTGGGCACAGTGGAGGCTGATGATGGTAACCAGCTCCAATTCCTTATGGAAATGAAGCACTGGAACAGATCTGGGCTCATGGAACACTGGTGGAGAGGAAGTGAATTCTAAACCTGACGATCTTCAGGAGAAGTTTAAATGCTCTTTGAGGGTCTTTTTTTCGTTGGTGGGATTTACTTTTTATCCGGGGGGTCCGACTCCTTTCTGAGTTATCCTCCTTCCTCCCCAGAGTAGAAGTAGCTTGTCCTATTTCTTTTGTAAGTTAAGAACACAAAACCCTTTACGGAACACCAGGAGGAAGCATCACACCCCTTCTACTACAAAGGTGAAGAAAGATGCAGAGAGAAAGGGTAAGTAGGAGGACAATGTCACTGTTCTGCCTTTAAATCCTTACGCTGTTTGGTTTTTCTCTGCTGGATCTGATTCACCCGAGGATGGGCAGACACAATCAGCTCTCCAGCAGCATCTTTGCTATTTCATGTGTGTAAGCCAAAAGGAATGTGTCTCATGTCAACCTTCATGGATGTTGTTAATTTGCTACTATTTAACTTAAGAGTTTTGTGGAAGAGCCTTTTGAGGGCTGGCATTGCTGACAAATGCCCTTATGTACTTAACTGAAGCCTGACCAAGTATCAGGACCATCAGACCTTGAGTGTGCTAAATCACTACAGAGCAGTGGTTTCCCCATTTAATCAGTTTAAATATTGTTACTGCAAACTGACTTCTTTTGGTGATCATTCTCATCCTTGAATCTGGTTTTAATAATTTACTTATTATTTATTATTTTATTATTTATTATTGTTATTATTAATATTATTACTTGTATTTAATTATTCCAGATTTGGCCTTTTTCTAATGTAACTTCCAGGTGTTTTCTATGCAGCTGTAAGCTATTGGTTGGGACATGCAAGGACTATGACTGTGAAGCCCTTATAGAAGTAAAATGGGATGGATTGGTCACACAGGCTTTCAGTTTCCCAGGTTGATCTATATCCTTGCTTTTGGCTGTCAGCATTAAAAGGAAAGGCCCCATTCCCAGAAGAGTGTCCTATCTTACTTTATCTTCCGTTCCTTTTCCTTGAGTTTCAAAGCATGTTCTAGCTCTTCTGGTGGGATTCCCTCCATGCTGTCCAGTAAATCGTTGAGCCTT